AAAAAAANAAAAAAAAAAGGAAAAAAGGAAAAAGAAAATCAAAATAATTGGCTAAAATAAATTGCTTGAATTTTTTAAGACTTCTATTTGGTGCAAATGGTATTTGGTATTATATCATTGTTGCTAATGTTTTCCACAAACGCACTTGCAGTATACACATTTTATCATCATCGTTATATTTTTAAACGTTTAGTTGCATGTCTTTATGGTGTTATCGGTAAATTTTTGATTTATTTCAATTTAACTAAAAAATTGCATTAATTTTTAATAAGATTTTTGAAAAAAAAACAAAAAACAAAAGACTATCATATTTTAATTAAGCATATTCTTGATTTTTAATCAAAAAATGGTTACATCATTGAAAGCAGGAGATTTAAAACATCCATAATATAAAAGATTACATTTAAATTTATAATTTCTACTAAAAAATTTTTAGCTATGTGTATTGTTGTTACGATCGAAATATTAACAAACAGCATCACTGAATGGAATCGTTCTGTTGCGGAACAAGCTAAGGTTTAAACATTTCCTTTTTTTTTTCTTTTTCTAATGAAATTATAAATTACAAATATTGGTAGCGTATCATTAAATGTTATTAAAAACTTTTCGAAATATTTCAGTTCCTATTATTTTTCTTTTTTTTCTTTTCATAGACATTTTTTGTACAAATATTATTTGATAAAAGAATAGGAAGTAAAAATAAAGATAGTAAATTGGAAACAAAAAGTATTATTCCAAGCAAACTTATGAAATACTGAAAACCAGGATAAAACTTAAGGTATTTCGCTTCCTGGAACACCAATATCCTGTAAATTTTCAAAATTATGAGGATGAAGTTGTTAGTGTGGTTTGTTTTTTGTGAAGCGATTAAAAATGTATTCAAATGTATGCGTCGAATTAATTGATTTTATTTAAAACTCATTACTTGCACTCCCACATGCAATGATTACAAAATCAACAGAATAACTTCCAATATTCCAGTGTTTACGCCATCTTTAGTTAGAGTTTGGAGTTCATGTCATTCAAAATTTAAATTAAAAATTGTTTATACTATGAGAACTGGAAAATATTACAACTTTTCTTAGTTCAATTATTCAATGTCAGGAGTCTTTTCAAAAAGGATGTAAATGTCATGGTGCAATACAATGCTTCGTTCATATGGGAAGAATCGGTATTTTTCAAGGACCCACTTCTGAACAAAAGTACCATTTGAAAACTTCAAAATCGCTATAGAAATAACCTTGCAGAATATGGAATGGGATTATTCAGTGGGTCAGACGACGGGTTTACCCACGTATTTAGCTTGGACATGTGTGCTTATTTACCTGTTTGCTGCGATTGCATTTGCGCTCGGATCGCATAAACATAAGGGTTCACGAGCGGCAACTGCCGAATTCGAGATTGAAGATCGACCGATTCACATTGGACGATGATTCGCTGATCTAAGACATGAATTTTATCCATTCTTTTATACTCTCCGTAATTGTTATTTATAATGTTGTTTTTCGGAACAACTAGGTAAACTGAATCTCATTAATAGGTGAACAATAAAGCTTTCCATCCAGAACTTTATTACTATTCGGACTATTCAGCCAGGAACTCTGCCCACTTATTTTGTAACCCATTTTGGCACATTTAACCTATTTGGTCTTTCAGTACAAACACAAATATACAGAATTATATCGAAAAAATAAAAATCTACTTGATATTAACAAAATACATGTATGGTAAACATATTGTGACGCTTCATACTGAACCATAGCAAATCCTACGATAAAATACGGATGATATATGCACAAGCATCATTGAATATGGGAACAGAAAATGGGCAGTGAGTAGTAAAAAGAAGTAGCTAATATTTCCATGAATACCATTTTCACTACTGCATTTAGTTCGACATGTTTCACATTTGAAATTCGAACAAACTTTAATTTTCCTTCAAAAGAATGGAACAAATTCCATGTGAAAGTAAAGAATTTCAATCTATGGATACAACATAGTTATGGATTAGAGTGGTTTCTTTCGGAAATTTGTCAAGCCAATGCCCAGCCAAGCAAAAACGAAAATAAATTATGGGTGGCGAATTATACAGTTCTGCGCAGAGCTAATAATGGTAAGCTAATAATATTTTTTATAAGTGTCCCTTTATGTCTTAAACCGGAATGAATAATGAAATCAGAAAAAGAAAACAATAGCTCAGATCAAAAGCGTATGCAATAAAAACACTGAAATAACCAAATTCCAGACTAATAGGGGAGAAAAAAGCTGAAAGACCATAATGATTAACAAGGCCATATAATCGAGCAATAACGGAAAGAGAAAACACATGAATATTGTGATGACAGTAGCTTTAAAGTACTTACATCGAAGCAGTTAAGCAGTCAGATAAAAATAATAAATTCTATTGTACTACCCCGGCAGAAAATCAAAACAAGGCTAGTATTTTGGTCGCATGATTTCTGTGACAGTACTAACCTATGATTACACGATTCCTTAATTTAATGAGAATTGTCCTTCGTAACAAAAATATGCTGGCAAATGAAAAAAAAAAAAATCACTTACGTTATCAGAGGATAAATAAAAGACAAAAGACCATTACAAATTACTACCTTACTTTCAGTGTTAACAAATTGTCAACAGCAAAAGAAAAGATAGTCCATAATCACAATATACAATTGGTTATCATGCAAATTACAAATATATGAAAAAGTTATATCTGTTGTGCTCGGAACTTACTAGCAGAATAATTCAGCATATATTGAATGTGCAAAAAACCACAAAGCACAACAATATTTGAGCAGCTGGAAAAAATTTGAACAATTAACACGAAAAAATCATTCATCTGAAAAAAGTGAAACTGACATGTGCAAATGAGAATGCAAATGAGCTCCAATGTATAAAGATTACGATATTTCAATCTCAAATTAATTTTAATACCTTTACGTAAGATCTCGAGCATTCGGTCGGATATTTAAAAATTTAGCATATCTGAAGAAACAGGCTACTTGAAGCAAGGTTTACAATCATTTTTAGGGAAATAACTTATAAAAAACAGCAAGAAGTCATGAATTCGACATATTAACATGACATCATGAAGTGAACCCCAAATAATGTTGGAATGACAAATCTGAAAGTAATAACCTTAAATGACCTAAGTTTGACCATTGATCACAGCAGTGTTCACATATTGTAATCCCTCATAGTTCGACTTCCCGCCGGAAGTTACCACATTTACGTATGATGAACCCTCTGCTGTTGTCGGTGCTAACACTTTCAACTGTGAAACACTATTTAGTAACGCATCCTAGAATCAAGTTTTACTCTAGATGTATTTTCAACAGTGGGTCAAGAATCTATAAAATTTTCGCAAGCATAAAAAATATATCTACCATGCCAAAGAGTATTAAAATCATCGAAAGTCTGATATGAACAAACCGGTCAACTTAGCAAGGAAACCTTTTAGAAATTTCTCGACCTATTGTTCATTTAATGTTCATGGAAATTAAAAGAAAAAAAAACAAACGAACATTTGCAATTTGCTCAAGTTTTTCTGCACCATGTGTTGAAAAGTTATTATCGTTTATTATAGGAACATCAAAGGTCAGCTGTTTGTGTGTTACGGATGGACTATTGCCAGCTGAAGATGAATCATAACGTGGAGGTAATGGAGGTGCTCGCAAAGGTGGTACAGCTTCACTCCTCGGTGGCCATGATTGTCGCTAAAACGAAATTATTTTAAGAATTATTTTGCATCTTTAGCTTGGAATGACCCCAAATATCGATCAAATCCGATATAGACAAAGAAAGACAATAAAGGCAAACAAGAAAAGACCTATTCATAATAAATTCGCATGAAAACAAAACATGAAGATGACTCACTACATTCTTAACAGTGCTTTTTTCAATAATCGTCTCATAACCAAGTTTTTTATTAGCTTCTATTGGATCAAATGAGTCGATAATGATTCTCTCCGTACCTTTGATCTCACAGCGACAGAAGGGACATGTACCACCACCATCCGATTCCTACAACAATGTAGTACATACGCCCAGAATGAAAGCGTTTGCTAGGGTAACAAACGTAGTGTGAGAGTAAACAACAACAAATACCATCCGGTAAAAAAAAGTTAAAAGAATCATTGGAAAGTGAATAAGATTTACAATAACAATATTACTGGGGATGCACAGTGAAGAGTGAGACACTGTTCTGAAAAAGGTAAGCTCGATGTATCAGCTGTTCTCACAATAATTAAAAAGACATCATACTCACACTTATACTAAAAAAATAGTAACCTGCCAGCTCTGCAAACAAGGTGTACAAAGTAAGTGGCCACATGGTTCCAACTTGACATTTTTGTTATTTTCTGCACAGATTTTGCACATCTCAAATGTGGTACCCATCTCACAATAAATTTGATATTGCTCTGGAGTCACCTAAAAATCCAAACTGTAGCTCAGATAATAACTAGAACTTTTACAGTAATCAGAATATGGAGAAATACAGCCCAGTTAGAGAAATGAACATTTTTGAACATCATCCCAAAATAAAATAACTTTGATGGTATCTCCTTACCTTAACACGACCTTCTGGACTTGGCTGCAAGGCATGACTTAAATCTGGATTGGTTGGTCTTCCGTCCGGAAAACGGTAGCTAAAAATACGTCATGAAAGGCCCAACCAGCCCAAACGACAAGAGACTTTTACAAAAGTACGAAATGTTCTGGATAAAAATTATATCCTAAGCTTGGTATAAGCAGGAAAAAAAAATAAATATGAAACTTAAATAACAATTTTCATATGAGACTGTTAAATAACAGCCTCGTACGAATTCAGTCGAGGAACTTTGCAGTAGAATAACTTACAATCCCTCTCGACTTCCATCAACCAAGGCTTGTATCAGTGATTTGTTCTGTGGTATAGTTTGATAAATTTTACCATCAGGAGCAACATAACCAACAGCCCACTGCCCAAGACGTGTACAGCTCAGACGGAACACATAGCTGGAAAACAAACAATGAGTGATCAAGTAAGCACAGACTCTCGTACCCCCAAAAATATCATTTGACAGAATTAATGCTATACCCCGAAATGAAGTAACAAACCTCCCGGGCTTGTTGCTATATTTCTGCAGCTTTTGTTTTACTTCATCGTATGTCAGAAAAGCAACGTATCCGGGATGAGTCACTGCAAGTAGCTGCCAGTTGTGCAACAGTGTATTCCACGGTTGGAAAAGTCTGAAATCCAGTCCATAAGACTTTTACCATTAAGAAATTAACCCTTGTATAAGTTAGTACAAAGAGAAATAAAGAGAAATGACTCACCTTGTAAATACGTCAAATTCGAAATTTGAAATATGCTCATTAACGGTAAGGTCAATGGTAGTCTTCAAAGCAAGAGTTTCTAAACCGGTATTAAGTCTATGCACTTTGCTTAACGCAATTCGAAATTCAAACCATGGTACGGTAGTCCTGAAAAATTTGATATGAAGTTTTTGCACTTTTCTTGCATTTTCGTACCGAACACAATTCCATCCCTTTGCTGTAAAATTTCTGACAAGCACAAAGTTCTGGTAAATTTGGCAAGCTAATAATATTACGCAGAATGGTTACTTGATGCCAAATGATTCCCTCCAAAATGCATCAGCTTCTTTTTTGGTGATACGGAAGTTTTCACCAATAAAATGACCATCCGGAAATTCAGCTTTCAGCTCTGCTAACATATGCGAAAAGATTAGCGAAAGCTTGGTAAGGTTACGTCGTGCTCCCGATCTTTCATCGTAAATTCTTTCGCGATCTTCTTTGAATAATTTCATTGTCTATAAGATGACATAAGCTCCCTGATAATGGAAAGTCCGGAATAACCACTTATAAGCATCAAATTAATAAAAAACAAATAGATCTAAAGTAACTACGTTTTAATACGGAAAGTACAGAAGACAGAACATTCGTATGAGAACCTGCTTGCATTTTGATTGCACGTTCTCCAAGAATAGTACCAAATATCCATTATCTTTTAGCACATTCGGGTTCTTGGATATAATAGTAGATAACTGGTGATAAGTATCAGGGAGTATATCAAGTATAAAAGGTGGTGAATTTTTAAGATTCAGACGCGGTTGTTGACAATGTTTGACGACAGTGTCCATCAATTTAAACGTCTTTTCAACCAAGCGACGATCCTGTAATTATAAAAACACTCAGTTACACGTAAAATTGCATAAAATCAAAAAATTCTAGAAGAATATTTGAAAAATATAAAATTTTCCTTTTTTTAATCGAAAGGAAATTGAGGAAGAAAAGCTCACAACAATGCTAGGCCAAATCGGAATCTCCATACTTTTTAGTCTCTAGATTATTATCCTGATAAAAAAAAAATATTATGAAGCTATTCTTCTTCCAAAATTTTCAGGACAAAGATCACTTCGAAGACCAAAAAAAAGAGATTTTCCGAACAAAATGCGTAAAACTGAGTGGAAAAAACTACAAATAACACTGTGTTAATAGATGAATTAGTTAATACCTGAATTTGCATCATGTTGGAGGGTCCAGCCACCGCATCATTCCGTCCATTGTAACTATGCAAAATAGAAACTGCGCCACCGCTAACAATTTCATGTATTTTACTCAATATGGAGGAAGCAAAACCGCTCACAGCCATTCGGTGAGCAAATTAAGCCAGTAAAGATGCTGTCCGGATTCGTATTTCTGAATAAACCATAATTAGTAGTTTCCTTGTCATGTAACACGGCCATGTAAGTTCCACTAATGTAATTTAACTTTTCAGTTCGAAACGCAGCAAAACTATCGACGAGGTTGGAAAACAGTCATTGCAGGGATTAGCTATCAAATTTTTGAGAAATGTTGACCAGAAAACTCGTGCCTACGGTTTAGTTAAAATCCGACTATTAAAATATTTTAAAATGTCGAATCGTCAGATCCTGGGAAATAATTAAATGTTAAGTCGTACAAGGCCTCAATAGAGCTTCTTAATAAACAGTAATAGCACATTCCGCAAACTACGTCGCATTCACTTTAAATGAAATTCAGCTTATTTCTTAAGCCGCCGAATAGAATTAAAAACAGTTCCTGAATTTCAAAAAAAGAAAAAACATATTTGAAATAGAGATCGATTTTATGAGACGACTTCGAAACTTTTTGAAATTCAAATCTGCTACATTCCAATGCTAATATTATACTATGGTATTATATTTCGACTTGTGAAATAAAACCAGGTGGTAAGGAAAAAAGCTCGCGAATATAAGCCAGACATGAAATATTGAACAGGTTCACGACGTCAGTATTGTTAAACCATTTCGGTTAATCTACTTCAGAACATATAGACGCTACTATTGATGTATGTCCGTCTATCCTCGCTGTAATCATCGACACATTCATTTATTTCACACAGTAGCTTTTTTTTTTCTTTCTTTTTTTCATTATATTTAACATGTCCAGCAAATGCAGCGTACAGTAGGATCTCTTCACATAACAGCAACACGACTTGATATTACAACAGATATCAGAGTATGGCAGAGAGTTATGTATCATAACCTGTTCCGAACAAATCCTAGAGTAACTTCCAGTCCCCCCCCCCCCCCCCCCCGGCCCCATCCCTTACTAATCATTTCTATCAAGTCCCAAACAGCAATGCCAAGTAAGCAAACAACCATAGCTGACAACATTTAATGCAGCCCGTGGTAGCGTACTTTATACTACAAGGTATATTGGGGGCTTTACATGATGGTCTATTGTTTTTGTTTTGTTGTTTTTTTTTCTCCCGGATTTCAAATGGTGTGGTGTGTTTGATGGCAATACGACGAATTGGTCAAGTTCCTGAAACAGAGTGGTATAGTTTCTCGAAAATGAGGAAGTTTAGTAAGGATCCCGTTCACTAAGAATAGCAACAAGAAATGCTCTAAATGAGAAGTGACAGCGAAGATAATTGTGAGTAATGAAAGACAATTGTGCATGTAATAGGATGAGATAAAATTTAAGAAATGTACAGTAATTGGTAGACGCCTATGGAAACACATGGAAAATACCTTGTAAAATTTAGTTTAGTTGGCAACTCGTGAATGATTACTTTTTATACAACTGAGAATTCTTCTTGTTATAACGAATAGAATTTATGTATCGTTTCATAAATTATTAGAAATGTTTCGTTATTTTTCTCGTCTTTTTTCCTTTTTTTTTTTCTTGTTGCAGAAGTTGAAAGTGGAAATATTTGTAATAATTGGAGCTGTTTTTCGGGACGGAAAACAGGGAAGATTGCACGAAATTTCATCAAATTCGTTAAAGTTTACCAAATCTGTCCATCTTTTTCTCCGAACATTTTTGATGTTTCGCTGGGTAAATTGTATCGCCGATATCCGTAATATCTTCATGTTAATGGAATGTCTCCTGGCTAGTACCGAGAGTTTTTTCTTTTTTGTAGATATATTCTGTAATTATTTTTCGGTACCCAGAAAGCGGTAAATTTAAAATGGTTGTATAAGCTGGTACCAAAATGAATGATTATTTATTTTTTTTCAGTTTTAAAATATGGTGATCAAAATAAAAGTAGCGTCACATCCAGGACTCTCCATGTCTTTATTTTCCCATCATTCTTTTTTTTTTTATGGGATAGAGACCCAATAAGGGTCATTATCTACGCCAAAATCAGTGTTTTGGTGTTGATAGGCAGCCACGAATCATTAGCTCTAGAGGAAGCTTTATTAACGTCATGTCCAGACTTATCGTTTCTCAATCCGTTTGATTCAGGCAGATTTACTTGAATTGATGTGTGGTTTGCTTCGAATTTGGAATTAGAATTTTTCTTTCGAATTCGAATTTGAGTCTGAATTTAGACCTTACGTCATGATTAAAAATATGAACCGATGTTCTTCATCTAGTCGCATTGATTAGCTGCAAGTTGTTTTGTTCCATGATATTACGTCAAACTTTTTTTCCATGGTGTTCAGGATCAAACCGTGACGGAAACGAATTGGAATTCGAAGCAAATTTGTTTCAGACATTTGGAATTCCAAATTTATATTATTTCCTTTATTTTCATTACCCGAATTTCGTTCCTAATACTCGTAATTTCCCCCGATATATCTCTGAAATTTTATTTGCGGATCGTGAGCAAACAAATATCTTGTTCGGATGGAAAAGTGATGAAAGGATTAATAATATCAATTGAACTGAAGGAGGAGAAAATTTGCTGTCAGAATTGACAGTACCTGGAAGTGTAAAAGGAATAATTTAGGGATACTACTCACCACGCAGTATTATGCGATTTGTGGAATATTGCTTTTGTTGTTTTTGAATTATTACAGATGTATGAAAACTCGTAAAAAAGCAGGATGAGGACGGATGATTATGCCTACGATAGGGATTTGGAGCTCGCGCTGGAACTTAGTAGGTCAGATACGTTTATGTGTTTTACACCATGTTACAACAAATCTCCTGATGCTGTTAAGATGTTGTGATAATTCTGACAGTTCAGTTTTTCAAATCGCAATTTTACAACGCAGTCAACTTTAGCAAGAAAATGGTTCTTAGCTGGAGTTTCTCTTTTTTTCTCCGATTTATTTGATTCAAATTAGAAAATGAAATTTACGCACAAAATTTTTAATTCATTTCCTATTGTGATATAAAATATTGTTAAATATTATTTCAGGCAGTCATATGAGGAGGAATCACGGAAACGACGGGAAAATGCAAATGCTCAGGATTTGATTTGTTGGGATGATCTAGAAAAAAATGTTGCGATTCAAGAAGTTGATCAACTTGACGCTAATATTCGTAGTCGTTGTCTCACATATACTCGCACATTTCCGTAGATTTTAAATCCTGTTTTTTTTTCCTTTTTATTTTTTCAAGAATTCAACGATTCAAATCCGTTTAAGGAAGAAGTCTGTTTAATATCAACTTCTTTTGCGTTTTTTTTTCTTTTTTTTTTAAATCATTCGTTCCTCAAGGAAATAGTTAGTTAGAAATGGAAGTCTCAGATCTGAAGTTTATTTTCCAAATCAGTTCTATGTTCTTTTCAGTTTTGGATTCAATTCAGTCTGTTATGGTATTTAAGAATTGATCTTATATTTTTCTCTTTTGTACTCAGTTTAGCAACAACTTTGTAGAAATGGACAGTCACCTCATTATACGAATATTCCAACAACGTCAGGAAACACAGGCTTTTATCCGCACATAGAACATGGTAGACGGGAAGGTCTGCATTCATTACATTGTATTAAATGAATTTGAAGTCATTTTTAATATTTCCAGTTATATCTCTGTGATATTTTCTCCGGGATTTTCTCAACTTTATAATTGAAAATTATGAGTGAAAAATTAGGCATCCAACCAAAAAAATTCTTTTTCTGCATGTCTTTTATTTCACTGTTCATTTCAAACACCAGTGGGCTTTTTAATGGAAACGACTTCTTTCTGCGGATTAATCTATTGTATTAATTGAAGCTTTATCCATATAATTTCCGAAATTATCAGCATCAAATTTCTATGGAATTTAGTGGAACTGAAGTCGGATACTTTCACACATCTGAATATCCCTCATACGTTATCTGGCATACAACCAAGTAATACTTCCGGAACTAGTCATAATAAGGAGCGAGATGGTGTTCTAGATGCTACCGTAAAAATGTTATCGCAGTCAAGCAATGCAGTTGTTGTTCCTTTCTGTTCCTCTGTTAATAGTTTGCAAACAAACAGCGATCTGATTGATCTAAGCGATAAAGAAGTAACTTTTTTCTCGTTAATTATTCACTGAAATTATCACTGACTGGCTGTACATCTTTTAATGATGAAGTTGAACCGGGATTAGCAGATAGGTCTCGTAAATTCAGTTAATTTATTCGTTTTCTCTTTTTGCAAAATATGGCCCAGCTTTTCAACTCTTGAAAAACTGCGTTATTCGTACCTTATATTCCGTAACAAGAAAAAACTAAACAGAGGCTTAGTCTATGAAAAAAGTCCATAACTGGATCTGTAATCATTTTGATGACCGAACAGTATGTGGTATACCAAAAAAAAAGACTAGTGGCTCTAATCAGTCTTGCAAGAATTTCATCGGTTATCGTTTTGCTGCTAAACATTCAGGAATACTGTGATATATTCAACCCGCAATCTTTAGTATTAACGATAAAGCAAATTGGGAATCTATATTTCATTTAAATCCATTGTCTTGGATCTTACCTAACTTTAAAAGGATCAGTTACATAGTGTTAAACAATACGAATCAACCGATTTCTTTTGATGTATGGAGATATTTTGTGGAGTAAGAAAGGTTTTGTTCCTTGAAGACTTGCAGTTCTCATGAATTTCCATCTTTTAACCATTCTGTGATCTTTTCTAGCCATGGGAAGAATTTGACCCCCTCTGTGTTACTGGCTCTGCCGGAAATCGCGAGACTTCATTGACGTATAATCAAGCGAAGGACACGGAAGTATTACCGAGCAAGAACAATGATTTCTCTCCTTTTTTATCTACATTGGAACCATCGTTGTCGATTCTATCGTCTCGCATGGTTATTACTGATAAAGGTATGTTTTATCTTGTTTTTGTTGGGGAGGAGATTTTTTTGCAAAATTCCAATAGTTAATTTTTTTCATCGAAAGATCTTTTATGTAGGTAGTGAATCAGCTCCTTGTAAACCTCCAAGAGCACAGAAGAGTGGGCGAGATGAATCTGCAGATTTTATCGAACATCAAATTGATTTTGACGAAATACAGTTGCAAGAAAAGCCTTCAGAAGTTGATCGTGAGGTTTGGATGTTAATGTTGCGCATGTTTTTTCAGCATACTTTCTATGAACAGCATTCCATAATTTTATGTTTAAATTCTAGACTGATATTTACTGTGAGTAAATTGAATTTTAGATTGCTTCTCTTCTACTTCGTTCCCCTCAACACTGTGATCCAATATCAAAGCGTTTTATATCACCTGTCGTGGATTATTTAATCACAAGTTTTAAAGTTACTAGTGTAAAAGTAATCGTTGAGAAAGATTACAGGTACTTTCACCTTTTTTTTCTTATGAAAACCACTGCTTCAGGATTATGGGTTACTGCTATTCAATTTTTGGGTAACAGGGGATGTGGTTAACATTTTTTTATAATTAATTTAAATATGCGAATATCCATCCTTCAAATAGTGTGGTTTTTAATATCTCATTTTCTTCGCGAATTTTGTTTAAGCTGGCCGACAATATTAAGTGCAGACGACAGAATGACATTCACCTGCGAAACTACAAGTACAATTCAGTACATTTTGGCAAATGTGTTAAATACATTCCTTGACCCCTCACAAATCAATATGCTGAAGGGTCGTTTACCGGTCGATGAGTACGGTCTGAAAGTGAGTAATCAAGTTCTTCTGTGTTCATGAACTGGTCGGTCAGGTATGACATCGTTAATCGTCATGTCAGTTTAAGGCCATCCTGTTTTAGATTTATGGGTTGGATGAATTTCTTCTTAGTAGTTCTCAGCTTGGTGAAAATCCATTTGTTGGACAGGCACTTGCTTTTGGGAAAGATATACGACTTGAGGTAATGTTTCGTTTCGATTCTTGAAGTTTCAAACTTGGATGTTATTTCTAATTTTATTGCTAATTATTGCTTCTTTTGAGGTTGGAAAAATAGCAAATGACAATCAACCGAAAAGGATGCAACATTTTGATACAACAAGCGTTGATGGCAGTTCAAGGCGTTCTTTCCAACCGAAGTATTGGTTTTTTTTTTTTTTCCGCGATCTTTTCAACATCTTTTATATAAATTTGTTAGTATAGAAATAACATCAAAAATAACATAAGTACACGGTTGCACGGTGTATCGTAAGCATTCTCTAAATGAGCATCTGATTGCACTTTTTTTTTCGCTGGGACTACTGCTAGCAAGCTAGGACGGTGACAGTGAAATCCTCAGGACGTAGGTTTTGTTAGAATATCTTTTTCTTAGATGGATGACCTTATGGGCTAGACGAACTCCATCTGCCTGGTTTTGGAGCTAGAATTTTCCTTCTCCTAGGATGGTTGCTAGGAGGCTAGCGAGCCCGTTCTGCTCGTGGACGCACTTTGTTTGACCTTTCAGTTGAAACATGTCTGAAACCTGTATGAGATCTACCGGAGGCATGAACACCGCCAGAATAACTCGCAATCTCATTAGGGCACACAGACTTCTCCCATTGACTAGAGGGTTTCCGTAGATAAGATCGCAAATTGTACTGTTGTACTATACTGTAATACAAACTGTGAAGTCATACTAAAGGCGACATATTGTAGTGCATACTACAGAGGTACTGTTATACTACACGTTAGGTTATCCTTTTCTTTCGTCCTCGGTTTACTTACACAGAATTATAAAAGTAGTGATTTGAGAAATAGAGCCTTATAGCAAAACTCGAAGCTATCCGTACTTTTTTTGAATTCTGCGATAATTTTCATAAGCTACAAACCAGTTCTAAAAGTTATGTAAAATATCGGCAGTTTTAACTCTCACATTTGTGGGTTTTTTAGTTCGAAGAAACCTGATTCTGTAGTGCGAGCAGTGACAAATGTTCGAGAAATTTTGGATGCACTAAAGAATTCACTGCGTATTTGTTCGGCTACAGATCTTAGCAACAATGGTAAATATTGCGGTGTTCTTATTATTCGAATATTTCATTTTAAATTGCTCATTTTGATTAAAAATATTTCGTAAATTTCAGCAATGCAAAATAAGGAAAGGGTAAGCCAGTCAGTGAAGCTTCTTTGTACTGTTCTGGGTCGCATTATGCCGACTGATCTTTCCGGAGCCCTGCGTTTATTCCTTGCAGCAGGAACGGCCGTAAGATTTTGCTTCATCTGTTTTATGTCTATCATTCAACAATATATGTTCTTTTGTAACGAAAACTTTCATTAAGCACACAGTGACGTGATGTAACAGAGAGACTGTCGCTGTAACAATGGGTCCATTAAAGTGGTACTAAGAGTTAATAAAACTAACTGGTCGGTCTTAATCACTGTATATTTATCATTAATTTCAAACTGAAACATCCTTGAATACAGAGATGTATATTTCAGGTACAACTTTCAAACGCTGTAACAGAACTCCTCACTGTTGTGCATAACTTCCTTAGTGTATATTGCAAATCTGTTCGATGTGGATTCGATATCCTCCCTTTGAAGGTCTATTTTTGCCGTTACCGTAATATATTCATGTAAGTCATGTTAAGACTTTTGTAAAGAAGACATTTGAACCCATGATATAAGGAAAAGTGATTTAACAAGAAATTTATCATTTAAAATAGTAAAATATAATGATAAAAACATTTCTTGTCTTTCGTCCTTGCTGAGACCGATGTTGTATTTCCTTTCTTCAGAAGAGCCAATTCTGTATTTTTATTACCCGGAAATGCTGCATTATATTTTCTGTTGGTTCTAGACATTTTCAAATAGTGAGCGTGAACAGCGGGAAATCCTAACAGTGGATGAGCAGCTATTAGTGCATGTTGATTCAGTCCACAATATACCACGAGAATGGTCGCAGGAGTTCAGCTTGTTCTCTATTGCTGTCCATGTAATGCATGGAACAGCGGAAATATGTCGAGGTGTCAAAGAAAATCCTCGACCGATCATTAATGATCATTTCTTCCCATACTGTCGGACTAATACGTGGGTTGGTGCCTTTTTTTCAGGTTGTTAATGAGATGTACACCAATAATATATGTTTTTAATACTTTTAATGTCAAAAATTCCATTATTCTCTTGAGATCAGAGAATTTCGATTTTTACCTTACATTTATCAACGAAGGCAAAAGCTGGCGAGGCTTTAGTTTTAAATTCCAACTTTCAGTGTGAATCTTATTATTGAAGTTCTAGATAGTGCCTATTCTTTTCCTCTCATCCTACACCGGATATTGAATTTGCAGGCGTGTTTTCGCATCCCACTTTGCATTTTACCTAGAGAAACACGTATTTTTATTCTGCTTTATGGAACTGGCAGTTCAGTTTGCAGTGATCATGTGAGTATGCTTTGTTTTTATAAGTTTAATTTGTAGAAATGGTTTTTCTGTGATTTAAAAGTAAGTATAGCTGTTTCTGATCGTTCGTAATCTCCAGATTTGTTTTCCTTCTCATTGGACATGCTTATAACATAATCTTCAGGTTCATTCATCGAATGTGCCGACTGAACCGGAAACATTACTTGAAAAGCAACTTGCTTGTGCTTCTTTCCCATTGTTCGATCACGAAGGGTTTGTTAATATCATATTTATATGACTTTTATTCAACTGCTTTAGATAAGATGCGTTGTTCGGGTTTAATTTTATCGAATGCGCTGAAAAATCGTCTGCAAATTTTAATTGGGACAACTAAACTAGAATTTTTGAAATTTCCACTACTTCCGAGCGTGCTTCACTATTTCCTGATATCACTTCGTTGGTGATACGACGGTACTACAAATCTTGGATTGTAGACATAAAATATCTTTGGTTAAATATTTTGATGATGCTAAAACTATCGCAATAACATCATGAAGTTATGTTGGTTTTGTTAAATGTGACAGGTTATGTTGGATGACATGAAAATTGTCGTAATTTTAAAGAAAAAGATACACTGCTTCAAGTTTCCATGTTCAACTTATTTAGCTTGCTTCGACAAGGATCTCTTCTTTTGCCGCTGTCCGTTATCAGCGGAAAGGTAGTTCATCCATGGGGACCTCGACCATTATTCGAAACGGAGGATGATCTCGTTGTACTTGTTACATTACCACAACTACATTATGATGTTATTTTCCCACATGTTAATTGCGGTGGAAATAGGTACTTCTTTCCTTTTTGTGTAGTTTCCTTAATGTTTTTTCAACCAGAATCAAATTTTCTAATTCGCAAAGAGGAAGAGAAGAAAAAACAGAAATTAAAAAAGGTTCTGCTTGAGATATTCTGTTGTTTGAAAAAAGGTTCTGTTTGAGATATTACCGTTATTTGATGGTGAATGGTCTGCTGCGACAGATTTTGAGTTCTTTTTTTTTTCATTTTTTATCGTATTCTAGTGCACAGTTTAGGTAAGGTATTGAACTAAGGGATCACAAGTGAAAAAATAAATTTCTTTCAAATCAAATCAGACAAAGCGCAAAGTAGTAATTTTTGTTTAACAGATATATCATTTCATAGTTACATATTTGGAATTTTCTTAAAAACACAAATTCAATTGTAGAACTATTTGCAGTCTGAAACGTGATTTCAACTCTCTTGATTCAGACACACAGCAAAATTTGCTGGATATTGTAGAAAGCGGAGTTACTCACAGGTTTGTGGTAGTTTATTTTTCCTTTTTTGTATTTGCTTTAGTTAGAGCGATCATGATTATCTATCTTGAAGAAATACGTATTACTATGGGGGTCAGCTGACCTTTTTTGGGAGCAACAAGTATTTTGGCAGGCTGGAGACTATGCCATCGTTCTTCATGCCATGTGGGAATATTTTCCTATCTTGCTTTATTCTACGAACTCATCTGAATTGTAGAATAAAACAAGAAAAATTATCCCAGTTATTCAAGCACCTTTGAGTGCTTAAATAACTGCAACAATTTGTTTTCGATCTTTTGACCATCAAGTATAGTTACCAGAATAAAAGCGAAAGTTGTTTGTTAGATCTATTTCGACTTTTAGTCTAACTGAAGATGAAAAGGAAACGTTGTGGGAAAAGCGGCATTATCTGACTCAGATACCGGACGCTTTGCCTTTAGTGCTTGCTTCTGCTGTTGGTTGGGACTGGGCATCATTAACAAATATTTATCAGTTGCTGGATGATTGGATGCCGTTGAGTTCAGTGCAAGCGATCGAACTTCTGCTTCCGCAGTAATCATTTTGTTCTGACTGATTTCCTTACTCCAGAAAAGTCATTTTTTGAAATTTCGAATAAGTGGATCGAAAATATGATTGCCTTACATAAAATTTACCTTATAGTTAATAAGTTTCTTTTTCAGTTTCCCGGATTTCATCATTCGTTCGAAAGCTATATCATGGGTAAAGAATGCTTCGTCAGATTTTCTGTTCAATTTCCTTCCTGAATTGGTCGAGGTTATTTTTTGTTTTCTTCAGTTTTACTTCATCTATTTTAAGTACTTTTCGTAGTATCTGATTCTCTCCAGCATTTGATATTTTTGGTCGCTATCCTAGACAGTCAATCAGCGTGCTATTCAAAACGTTAATTGGAGAGCTATCAAATCTCTAGTTCGACAAATATCTTTCCGTTATGATAGATTAGTAATGGTCTCCTTCGACTGTGCAGTTTTATAGGTCATTATATGATTCAGTTATTATAGGCTTTGCGATTTGAGACATTCGAAGATTCTTCATTGGCTGTGTGCTTATTAACGCTTTGTGCTGGCGACCGTCGTTTTGCTTTCGAACTTTACTGGTGTCATTTTCGTTAAAATATTTTTGTTTGGCATTAGCTTAATACTACATGCTTTTCGAAGAGAAAGTAACAAATTCCTTAAAATTTCATGCAAAATCTTTGAAAATTTTCAGCAATAAATTAGTGTCAACATATTTCTAGGCAATTACAACAACGGATAGACCAGTGTCAGGAAAGGAGTTACTCAAATCGATGCAATTTGTTGCAGCAACAAGTTCTCAGGCTATTAGATGAAGAATTCGGTGTTGATATAGAAAATCAACATCGGCTTTTGCAAGCGTTAAATGCTGTATATTATGAAATGAAAGAGGCCGGTGATGCCACCAAAGTGGTTCGTCATTTGATATACTTAAACAGAGCTCAATGGTGCAGACAGATTCTCCTTATATTCCTTTCTCGTATGAGATTGCATTCATTTGCTCTAATACGGAGTTATTTTTTTTTTAATTTTATGAAAGTCATGAACTTGTACATGGCGTGAACCTTTAGCAGCTAACTCTTCAACGGCACCTTGCCTTGCTGGATGCTCGAATACTGGAAAACAATGTACGCCTCCCTCTTTTACCGTCATTTTTATGTACTGGTATAAGTGTATCAGAATCGAGTTATTTCAATTCACTGACAAAGCCGATAAAAGTAACATTCAAAGGGCTGAAAAGCTCATTTGCAATTCTGTATAAGGTAGGCCTTTTTTTTTACATATTATTTACTAGTGATGGCAGTTTCTTTAATTAAATTGTCGACTTAATTGCTGCTTATATACTAGTCTGTTGATTATTGATAATCGTCAGTTGTTTTGTTTTAAAAATCCAGAATTGTTCATAATGCACACTGCAGGTTGGTGATGATATGAGACAAGATGCACTCGTATTACAGTTAGTGAAAATGATGAACGATATATGGTTAAGTCAGGAGCTTGACCTCAGAATGGTCATTTTTCGCTGTATCCCTTTTGGGAATAAAAGTGGTGTGGTATTTTCATTACTATTTTTGGTTTTAAAATTATCTGACGATTGTTGTGTGAAATTAATTAGAATTTATAATTCAAAGGAATGGTCGAACTGGTTTCTGATTGCCGTACACTATGCGAAATTCAAAGTGCCGTCGGTGCTACTGGTGTATTTAAGGACGATGTGCTCAAAAAATGGCTCGAAATGCATAATCCTTCGGAATTTCAGTATAAAATAGTAATTTTCAATCCTTTCTGTGCTTGTGATCTATCTTATATATGAATACCAAAATAAGCGAATTAATCTGGGAAGTCAACCTTCTCAGATATTCGCTTACTTAGATATTCATATAAAAGAAATAATTTTTATATGGATTAAATAATTTTTGACTAGATATCTGAACAATTGATTAGTTAAGTAATCTCGGGTTAGCATCACTGTTATTAGATTTTATTATAAAATAACTTGCAGGCACTGGAGAATTTTCATTTATCTTGCGCAGGTTGGTGCGTTGCCACCTATGTACTCGGTATTGGCGATCGACATAATGATAATATATTAGTTACTAGGACGGGTCATGTTTTCCATATTGATTTTGGCAAATATATGGGTGATTGGCAAACGGCTGCTGGATTCCGAAGGTTAGTTCATATACGAGAACGGCATTCGCCTTTTGAAATTAGTAGTGCTTTGACAATTATGTTCAGAAACACGAAATTTATTTCCAGAGATCGCACACCTTTTATTTTACCAGTGATATGGCTTACGTCATCAACGAAGGTTCTCCTCAGTCAGCAACAAGCCGTTATCAGCAGTTTGTTGATAACTGTTGTAAAGCCTTCAATTGCTTCGAAAATATTCATTACTCGTAAACCTTATG